TACTGTTTAAAAATAAAGGCCCGGCAAGAATGGACACATGCAGCTATCGTATATGCGAGTTAGCTAGTATATTTACTCTATTACTTCAACCGGATAACGTGCTTTTACTTTAGAAGTTTATACATCGTACAATATTTGTAGAAATGTTGGTAAGTAAATTGGTTATTATTATCGACTACGCCAAACAATGCGACTATTTAAAATAAAGCATGCATAAGTCCAGGGTGTACAAAATTAAACTCGAACCAGTACAAGGCTTTTGAGAAGATACTGCATGATGTGTGTTTTTTGTGAATAAATAGAAAAAATGTATTTACCTGCATGTGATTTCCCACTGCTGCATTTCTGACAAAATATGGTTTTTTATTAACTGGAAACTAAAACAATCAAATCATGTTATTTCAAATCAACAAACTTTTATTAACAGTTGTATAAAAATAACTCGACTGTAGGGAATCGAATTTTAAAATATACAAATAATGAAATAATTTGCCATTTAATTGTTTTCTTCCAAAAAGTGTGTGTGTAAAAAATAAAGCACCGTCTCAATGAAAGTAGTTATGGCACATTTATTTGCAGGGGAGGTCTCCCAAATACTCGGAATGGATAAAAACAATGCATTACCAGCGGGCGGCATAAGGGACAGCCCCCTTGAAAAACCTTGAGATTGTTCCTGGAAATTCCAAGGTAAGGGAAGTTTGGTTCATTCCGATTGTGGTTAAAAAACAAAATATCAGGTTGCTAGGCCAAATCCTAACTCATAGTAAACAAAAACTAGGGATCCAAGGACAGTGCAATGTTTCTGAAAACTTGAAAAGTCATTACGGTAATATCAAATCTTTCAAACATATTGTTCATAGTTTTGCAATTCATTTGTCCAAATGATGCGGTTTGCAAATGCAAAACTGTTGCAAATTAATTTTGTTGTAAATTACCAGTAAGCTTGAAGTAGACGAAATTTTGAACTTTTAGATGAAATTTTGAACTTTTAGATGAACTTTTGAACTTATTACAGCCATTTTCGTCCAGCCATACCACAAGTCACAAAAATTTCCGGGCGTTTGTTTATGTTTGTGACGTAGCTAACAGTAGCTGCCGGAAGCTACATTTTTAAAGGGACACTCCACCCCCAGAACAAGTGTCGCTCATAAGAAAGCTTTATATGAGCCTACCTTGGAATGAATATTTGTTCGCCTCAATTCTTTTTCGTTTGCGAGAAATTTACCTTTGTTTAACTGATTTTTGGTTCATTATCGCCACCATGTTTGTTGAATCTGCGGGTGGTCGTATGAGTGCCGTCACGTGTGTGATAGAAACAAATTGTATAATCAGATTTGCTTTGAAACAAATTGTATAATCAAGCTTTTAGAGTTTCCTTTTAAATATTTTTTAACCGAAGATGCCTCATTGCCTGGCTACCAAAAAAGGCCAAAGCTAAAATCAGACGCAGTGCCATCTATATTTCCGCGCAGTAAGCCAGAAAAAGCTAGAAGCACAGGGCGAACAAGAAATCATATCCGCTCTGTACAAGCCAGACAAGAGGTATTAAGCCATGAACGCTTGCATGTATTTGTAGTATAAAAAAACTTGTACGTTATGTAATCATTTTCTAGCTTTCATATTGTGGCAGAATTAACTTTCTGAACATTTGTACGTTATTAGACACAAATAAAGCATAAACACTTCAATAACATATATGTTGTGTATATTTTTACTTGCTGCATATATTTATAATATTAAATTGTGCATTTATACGAGTTCATATTCTAAAAAAATGTACAACCATCATCTTAACTCCTTCCGACATCATATTGGGACAGTAATATGGAAGACAGACGCTGCATTTAGTAGCCATGCACATGCACAACAAATCCAAAATAGGGCCAGAACTAATATGGGGAACATTTGTATTAATGTATAAACCCTCAAATTTAAATTCACACACTGCACTGCATTGTATTTAGACACATTCTTATTTTTAAGATACTTGAAGACTGTATTAGTATGCAAATTGAGAGCTCATTGACATCCTCCCAAGCTATTGAATGTACTGAATCTGAAAGTCAATCATGCACAATTAGTTCTGTATCTGAAACCCAATGTCCCATTGATGGCATGACAGCAAGTAGAGAAATTGGCATACAATGTGAACTGTCGGTTGACCACATTCCAATTATTAAGCCCATGACATGATGCATTGCAACCCAAACTGAATCCATGCTCCTTGAATTACACCCCCCTGCTCTTGCAACTGTTAGTGGAAATGATATTGCACAATCTGATCAGGAAGTTATGTATATTGATGCACCTTCCTTAAAGGAAAGCACCAGCCTACCAGATTGTCATTCTCCTAGCACTTTTGCAGAAACTACGGACCTACTTGAAAAGGTATCACCTCAGAAAAGCATCTGTTCAGAGTATACATGCACACTGACTGATACAGATACAGATCATGATGAATTATACATGCCTTCTGCTGAAAGTCAAACCGAAACAGAGAATGCAAGTGATGTAGAAATAGAAAAAAGTCCTCTAGAGCAGAAAAAATTTGTGGTGTTTGAAAAAAATCTAGATGAGCTATTTGTTACTTGTTCCACCTGTGCTAAGCCAATAGTTGAGCAGTCTAAAAAATGTATTGGTAGCATGGTGGTTGTTGAAACAGTATGTGTTGATGGACATCAAAATAAATGGCGGTCACAGCCTATGATTGGTGAGAAGATAGCAGGCAACTTGTTGCTTGCTGGATCAATACTGTTCAGTGGGAATACTTTTCAAAATGTAAACTCTTTGGCCCAGTGCTTGAACTTGGCTTTTATTGGTAGAAGTACATTTTATGATATGCAGAAGGTTCTTTTTCCTGTAGTTGATAAGGCTTGGAAAGACCACCAAGTTGCCCTGCTGAATGAAACAAAAGAATCATCTAAGTTAGATATTTGTGGGGATGGTCGGTGTGATAGCCCAGGGCATTGTGCAAATTATGGCACCTACACTGTTATGGAGGAAAATAGCAGTAAAATTCTAGATTTTGAAGTCGTTCAGGTCACAGAGGTCTCATCATCAAATGCTATGGAGGCTGAAGGGTAAGAGTGAGATGTTTGACTACGGACAGGCATACAACAGTCACTGCAGAAATGAGAAAAAACATTTTGAAATTACACACCAGTATGATGTCTGGCATCTTTCAAAATGGGTGGTCAAGAAATTGACAAAGAAAAGCAAAAAGAAAGAGTGTAAAGATTTAACAGATTGGATTCAGTCTGTTTCTGCTCATTTCTGGTGGAGTGTTGCAACATGTGATGGCAACTATGAATTACTCATTGAGAAATGGACATCTGTTGTCAATCATATTAGCAACAAGCACTCATGGAGACATGCTAAGCATTTCAAGAAATGTGCTCACCATAAATTGACCTGACGGGAGAAGAAAGAAAAGCCATGGCTAAAACCTGGTACTGCTGCTCTTGTTGCCCTTGAGGACATAGTCTTCAACAAAAAGCTACTCAAGGATTTAAAGCTGGTAACAGAGTTTCATCATACTGGAAATCTGGAAGTTTATCATTCCATGATGCTAAAGTACTGTCCCAAGAGGCAGCACTTTAACCATGAAGGAATGGTTGCTAGAACACAGCTTGCTGCCCTGGACAATAATCACAATTGCTCTAGGAAGCAAGCTGTGGTCAAGAAGGGATCCAATGTGGGCAAGTCTACGGATACAATCTTGTTTTCCCAAAGATGCGCAAAACATGGGTAGTAAAGCCAATTAAGGAGGCCAAGCAGTTTGATTACATTACTACACTGATGGAAAATATCCTCAGGTATAAAAAATCAAAGAAACCGAAGAAATCCAAGAAAGCCAAAAAGTCTGCCAAACATGCAAAAAATATTGCCACAAAAGAGAAACCAGACAAGGAAACAGCAATCAAGGCTCACATTAGCAGATTCTAGACAAACTAACAAACCTATATTTATAATAAACAAACTATAAAATGAGCAAATGATATATGTACTTGTAAGTTAAGTGTCAAAAGGCCCAATTTGTTCATATAACATTTAATTAATCATCTTCATCAGATGCTGGCTTAAACCCAACATAAACATGATCATCCTCAGGTCCAGGAGGTGGGAAATGTGCTCTGATGCAACTGACAGCACAAAACTTACCATTCTAAATTATCCAAGCGACTTTCATCAGCCGAAGAGTTCGAACCCTCTTCATCTGCTTGGCTTTCACTGTCGCTGCTGGAACTGGAGCCTTTCTTTATAATCGTAGGTTCGAATAAATACGGCTGCAGCGAAAACTTTGCTTCGTCCGTTTCAAATTTTACATTCATATTCGGTGATATATCTTTGTCTACTTCAGAAGAGCTGCTAGTACTCGATCGGGCCATAATTTAAAATGATCAGTAAGAGAATAAACGATCAATAACAGAATTTATTTACCCAAAATCACACCGAAATGAATTACGAAGCTGTTAATTTATAGTGTTTACATCAAAGACTGAGTGTTTCTATCACACACTTACGTCACGGCACTCATAGGACCACCCGCGGATTCATCAAACATGGCGGCGATAATGGACCAAAAATCAGTGAAACAAAGTTAAATTTCTCGCAAACAAAAGAGAATTGAGGCGAACGAATATTCATTCCAGGGTAGGCTCATATAAAGCTTTCTTATGAGCGACACTTGTTCTGGGGGTGGAGTGTCCCTTTAATGTCATACATGGATGTCTCAATTGCTTTTAATATATACATAACACGGTATCAAAAAATTAGTTTTGTCGATATCCCTGTATAATATTTTGTAGCATCTTTCATTTATTTAATATACAGAAACGCAGACAAAAAAATTATACTTACGATAAGATTAGGCCGAAATTTCGGCCACATCACACATTAATTAATTGCCAAATTAAACAGTAAAATTTGCCAACTTGGCAACTTTTTATAAACGTAAACATTGTCATTGACATTATATTGAAATAAATGTAACACGATGACCTATGAACTGTACCTAAGACATAATAAATTTTAATCTTGAATGCAATTAAATTTATTGAAACAAAGGCTTTGTTATTAAAAGCTATAGTATATCTGGATTAGTATTATGCCAACAGCAAACTTTGCGCTTGTTATTATCCTTTTACTTCAATTATGGCACAAAAACCAAATATCTTAATATCTCTCCATATAACTATCCATATCAATAAAACTTATTGTGGCTGTCTGCATGTGCACAGGTACAATATGCGGGCCTTGAATAAATGAATAATTAAAACAATATTACAAAAAATTCTGTCACATTCTGCGACACCTATTGATGGTATACCGTCTGTTCACAGACTGTATATACTATGAGACTATACAGCACGCAAATTATTTTTATATCAGAAAAATGCTGTTTTTATATGACTATTCTTTTATTGCAGATTAATTTTCATATAAAGATAGATTAGGGTTGAAATTATAGATTTAATATAAATGAGCGTGCTATAAATGTGGAACCAGAGTTTGACAGCTATAGACAAACATTTATATATAGACATGATATTGCATGTTATACTGCACGAGGATATTATATTTCATGTTATTTATAAAGTAACGTGTCTGCCTATACTGGCTACAGTCATAGAAAAAATAAGATATAGTTGTACAACTAAATTTCGTGACATAAATTGAGCTACGAGATTTAAATTGAAATATTCCTATAAAGAAAATCATAAATAGACATGAAAAAAAAAAACTCGGCCTCTTATGAAATGCAGCGAGTTGAAGCCCCGAAATAGAGTCTAAAATTGCATCGAAATAATACATACCCATGTTAGATCGTTTGTCCAAGGCCTGTTCTAAAATTTCGACCAGCACTCATACGCGTCGTCATATTTATTTAAGTGTGCTAATTTTGCTGACTTGCAGTTCTCACAAAAATTTGATGATACAGGGGGTGCTAATGGCACGAATCCCCATATTTGTTATCTCAGTAAACTTTAACATTGCTGTAATGTAGACGTTTAAACATTGATCGTCAAGCTAAATCAAATTTAAGAAATTTTACTGTTGCTATAAATACCGTTTTAACGTTAAAAATTCTCCAACCTTGAAGTTTTTTTAGATATGGCATTGGGATAACATTTGCAACTCCCCCCACAAAGTTTACTCTATTATCTCTCGCTTGAATTTTGCCACTCATCACAATAGTGCAACGTTTCCATGGAAACATTGCACTAAAAACGAGCCCCACAACAAGTCACAACCAGCTAAAAATAACTCAGAATGATCCACTGTGACCACTATTAACTTCCGGTTACAGTAACTGACGTTTGGGTTTGGAGCTCGCATTTTGACTGGTAGATTATCCATATACTGCATATACGAGTCTAGTAAAGTGGGCCAATCTAAAGATTTTTTGTTTTATAAATGTAGGTCAAGCTTATTCTTGCGTTCTCTCTCTTGAATTTATTCACTCATCAATCAACAGATAATGACGTATATACTTGTACTTGCCTCAACAAGCAATAATAAAGTCGCATATACCTTCTATACTCCGCTTACATTATTAATATTATTCAGTCAAGGCATGTGCTTGTATAGCCTCCTGCGCAGATGTTTTAGTGGCCGAAACCAAGTCCTTGTATTGTTACACCACTGCTATATATAACATCTTGACTATAGATTATAGATTATAGCTGTATGGTGTAGGACTGTATAGTGACATGGAATATAGGCTAGCTACTTTCCAAATACAAGTTATAATTCCACAGCCTAAAGGGGATAGCGCAAACAGGACAACAAGACCAATGCCAGGCGAAACCCCTAAACTAATATTAAACTAGTAATAGAACCCCCAATATAAAAATATCCAACCTAATTTACTATTCAAATATGGAATCTATATGTAAATAAATATGCAGTTATTGATACCTTTTTCACTTTTTGTGGGTGTTAGTGATATGTACTCAGGCGAATATGATGTTAGTGGTGTTACTTTGAGTATGCATTCACACCGGCCAAGCTGGAAGTTTGCCTGACCACAGTGGGAATCGAACCCGCAACCTTTGCCTGTACTAGTCTGATACAAAGTTGCACAAATATTGACTATTGTAAATATTGTCGTTAATTGACAAGGTATTTTTCATTTTGTTAATACTTTAAATTTGAAGTTAACCATTAAAAATTATTGTTCATTCATTCCTATCAGTACTTATTTTATATAGATTAAATAGATAAGCTGGATAAAAATGCAGAAATGCCAAGGTTCAGTAAAAAGGCCAATGGCCTACTAGTGATCACTAGTTAGCTCGTGCAGATAGGAATTCCTGCTAAAGTAAGCTAATGTAGGCTAATGTAAGGCACTCTAAGGTACTCCAAGGTTGTACCCTAAAGTACGCTAAGTTACCGTACTCTAAGGTAGACTAAGGACTATATAAAATAGCCTACAGAACTCTAAGTTACTCCAAGGTATTCTAAGGTACCCTAAAGTAGGCCAAGGTACCCTAAGGTAGGCTAAGGCATCCTAAGGCAGGCTAAGGTACCCTCAGGTAGGCCAAGGTACCCTCAGGTAGGCCAAGGTACCCTCAGGTAGGCCAAGGTACCCTCAGGTAGACCAAGGTACTCTAAGATAGGCCAAGGTACCCTAAGGTACTCCAAGGTACCCTAAGGTAGGCCAAGGTACCCTAAGGTAGGCCAATGTACCCTAAGGTAGCCCAAGGTACCCTAAGGTAGACCAAGGTACCCTAAGGTACGCCAAGGTAATCTAAGGTTCCCTAATACACCCTAAGGTACCCTAATTTCATTGTATTCTGATATACTATACCCTCAAGTTTATGCATGGCATGAAGGCAAAGCTGAGATTGAGGTCCATCATATTGGCACTATACACTAAACAAGGATGGTGATGGCTACTGCATCGAGTTCCCTGTCAGGGCTAAGTCGTTTCTGAAAATGCAAAACAGGATTATTTTTTTTAATCATGATGGCATTTTAGTTCCATCCCCATCATATGTACTTGCAATGGCAACGTTCTACATCACTAAAAACCTTGTTCAAAGGATAGCATGTAGCTTATGTGGCGTGTGATAGTAAATAGTTAATCCAAACTAAATAATATATTACTGACAGTAATAAAACTCTCTTTGTTTTTATACAGTTAAGCCATGTTTAAGCTATAGGCCAGACCTGGCCTGGACCTACATATAGATGTGAACAGGTTTTACAATTACCTAGCCTTTAAATCATTCTCTTATAACAAGTTCTCCCCAAGATGGTGCAAACGCAGCACATTTTAGCTGAGCCTAATCTGTGGTGCGAACACAGCTTTAGACATAGAATCAATTAAATATTTCATAAATTGTTATGTATTTGTCCTGGCAGGACACGTTTTATCTTGAACCATTGAAAGATGCTGTAAAATCTGTTCTATGGATCGGTTCTGCTCCTAAGAAAGATACAAACATTGCCCAAATTTTGCATTTTCGAACTTTTTCTGAATTAAAACTCTAGTTTATATTTATTTACAAGCATAGAAAACCAGAACAGTGTTATATATTCAGTTAGTATATCATATGTTTTTACAAATACAGCAGTTCAAAATGTAAACAAACCTTAATCAAATGATAATTATATAACTTACAACGGTCTGCTCAGATGTGGACACTTCTCCTTTCATGGAAAATTCTTTCTGTCCAATATTCATTGTCACGTTCTGTGTAGTTATTTGGCATCTTTTCATATTCTTGAAGAACACCCAGGCGTTTAAGTGCCAGAAGTGAGTCTTTGCATGCATCATGCTTATTAATTTTTCTGTGACACAGCACACACTACATCATTTGTCTTCTCAACGCCTTGGCCAGTGAAGATTTTAACACCATTTTCATCAGATAACTGCCTTAGCACATGGTACACAAAGCATGTGGATGTATGGTGTTATGTTGGATTTTGAATAACCTTCTTGGTCTTTTAAAGACAGAAACAGCTTCACCCATTCATTTGCCTTGAAATAACAGGGGAGTGGTAACTTTGATATTAACCCAATTAATGTCCAAGGCTTTTTCTTTGACAAGTAAATGCTCCAATAGGGTGCATGGAGGCCCATTGTGCATCAATGGGATAAATTAAAAGAACAGAGGAAGAATTATAGAATTGAATATATTTTTGTTGAATGAACTAAATAAAATTGCTTAATATGTATCCATTAGTTTTTTTTTATTTACCTTAAAGAATTCCTCTATATTTTGTCATGATGCTCTCCAAGAAGATAGTGTCTTGTACAACTCTTCAAATCACCCCTTAAAAATATGAAAGACAATGTCTCTAAATGCAAATTATAACCTTAGTCAGCATCTGGTGGACCATAAATTCATTTGTGTTTACTGATAAATAACATTCTTAAAACTCAAATATTGGCTCTAACCTTGTAAGTTGTTGACGTTTAAGAGATTAACGGTTCTTTCATCCATTATTTGCCCGGTTAAAGGCATTGTTTCCTTTATGACTATCATAATAGTTTGTATAGCGTGACCAACAGAATTGATATGAAAAATTGAATTCAGTGTGGTTCCTTAACATTTCTCTTCTGGTAAAATTCTTGTGATTGTATTCTTTGTATCGTCAGTCATTGTTTTAAATCAGAAGTGAACTATTTTTGCCACAAAGTAACTTAATAGTGGGAATCATGTACAATGTCATTTTGTTGTTTATATTAATACAATGGTATGAATAATTGATGATACATGCTTCTAGATAGCAGATACAAGATAGCGGATACGGGATAGCAGATAATACTTTCTATTAAGTCTACTGAGCGGTTGACATTTTTATGATGGATAAACCGACAATGTATCCACAGCTGCACGTAATATATTAGTAAACTTATAAATTGCATGTACACTTCTTAACAAAGTTTAAGACGAGGTCAACATATGGCTTCTTAATCTTGTGTTTGCCTTTGATGCCAGAAGTGTCTAGTTGGAAAAAGGAACAGATATCTTGTAGCACCAAAACTGAAAATCTGTCGAGCTTATTGCGTGAAGCATAGTCACAAAGGTTATATGTGTCGTACATTATTGGATGGGAAGAGGAAACTGCATTAAGGACCTCAAAATGTAAATCTTCTATTAATTTTTCTGTAGTGACTTCTTGTTCATCCTTCTGGGATGTAGTTGAGATGCCAGCGGCAGCCTTCCTCCCTTTGCTGTTTCATGCGAATAGAACTAGCGATTTGCTGTGGCATCAGATATTCAATAGCTGTGAACATAGGCTCGCCACTGGAGAGCCTTGCCCTCTTCATCGTTCTTGAAACAGACACAGGATCAGCCTTTTGACCAGTCTGCTCACCGACTTGATAAGTATCTAGTACATATGTCTTTTGTTTCTCTGAAAGGGCCCAGCCCATATTCAGAATCGGCGTAACTACAACGTCAACTGGAATGCCTTCACAGATCTGTGGTACATCACAAATTGCACGTTGTTTGAGCTTTGATGCGTACATAATTATTGCCTTATCAAATAAGGTTTCGCACGCTAGAGTGTACTTGTGCTTCCCACAGTCAAGGTGGTTTTGAAGTGAAGAATGTTGCTGAAAGGACATGATGCAGCTTCCTCAGAACAAAAGAATAAGCTCTCAGCATTTGGACTGTCTTCATCTATAGCATCCTCTCCTGCAGAGTCAAACTGTTCAGGTACGGTCGTTTCTTTGGATTGTCATCTTGTCATGATGTTAGTAAATGAAACTGAAACAGTATGGGTGCTTACTTCATGTGGATCTTCGAGTGTTGGTGGAAGATAATCTTTGGGCACGCTAAAATCGTCCCATAACTTAAGTTTGCCAGGTCCAATACCATAGGCTCTCCATACTCTGATCCCTTCTTTGCTGAATTTCATGTTGTTAAGGAAGCTGATCCCTTCCCATTTTACAGGAAAAGGCACTTCATCACTTTGTGGGCCACAGAACATTACTCATACCCTCGATACACCACCTTGTGATTCTATGGCTGCCACCATTTGCTCCGCTGTCTCGATGTCATGACCCTCATTGAGATGAATTCTCATTTTGGTTTTAATTGTAGCCGCTTTGTGGTCGCAAGACCTGTTTCCTCCCTGTGGGTCAGAGAAATCCATGGATAGCTTCATGTTGTGCTTGGTAGCGATTTGGTTGACAGAGAGCAGTACTTCAGCAGAGTGGTAGCACCCGGCATTAGCTTGTCTGGGAAAGAGGGTTGTTATTTCTGGAACAATTGACTTTATTTGCTGGAAAACATCGGCAATGACGGCTAACACTGTGCTGCGGACCTGGGCACACTTTTCAAATAGATGTACAAAAGTAACCATTTCCAAATTTCCCTCCTCACTTCTTCGCATAGCCACGGTTATGTACCAGCTGATACCATGTTTTCCAAACCAATCACTCTGTCTGTGCCTCGCGAAACATTCTGGGCAGAAACTTCATGGCCCAATCGAGAACCAAGAGTGCAGAGTGGACCAAGATTTTTTAAGATATCTAACCTTGCTTGGTCTTGATTAATGCAGCGGAGAATATGAGCTTTCCATGCACCGATTTTGTTCTTTGATTGCTCGAATTGATACTTTATTTGGTCTTTTTTAGCTCCATCCTCAAGGTTTTCTAACACTGAACTCACCTATTCATATAAACATTCAAGAACATGTTATTACCATCATGATTATCGTGATCACCTGATCACCATGACCACCACCATCATTTTCATTAATATCTTAAGGTTGGATTCATAATTACAGATAAATTGTCCAACCTTGACAAATACTAAAACTCAAATTACCTAATAATATTTACAAAATTGACCTTTACCTCCACCACATTGGGAAATATATTACAACGGTCACACTGGGACTTTATGGTCATGATCGCATTGGGAAATGTAGTCTTTGTTGCCGGGACAGCTCAGAGCATACTTTCTTACAGTGATCAGGTACTGAGGAATTCTGGGAAATGTGAACCTGTCCAGAGAGAAAACGTATGAAGTGAACTCATCTGTCGTGTGTGTGTGTGTGTGTGTGTGTGTGTGTGGGGTATTTCAGATATGCGTTTACCAACACCTCTGTCTGTCTTGGGCAGCTTTCCTTTGTGTCCAGATACCTCTTTTGGTATTCTACATCTCGTATTGGAGCCCCGACTCCACCCAACACCAAGCACAGAACGATGGTTTGGACAAATAGTAATCTCTTCTATGTTATGTGGTGTTTTAAACATACCAGCACGAGACAGTATTAACACCACTTCATTTTGAGGGCCAGAATACTTACAACATTGTAGGTGACTGATGTCCTTTTTACATGAAAGTATAGGTGTCACCTGAGTGGCACCATTAGCGAGAGAGCATTGACTAAGCCAAAAAGGTGCGAACGGTCATAGCGTTTGTTGTGAAATCACAGTGATGAGTGTTTATATGGAGGCAATGCCAGCCCGGGCTTGAGTTAGCGGGTAGCCCGTTTTACAGCTGGGCTGGCGTGCCAAAACAAAGCTCCTGCAATCAGCGCTATAAATAGTGTAATATATAATAAATATATGATCCTGTGAAATTATACAAGTTTCATGACCCACGGAGACGCTGACAAAGACCTTTTATAAAGATTGTATTCTGTCGAAAAAATGTTATATACAACATTATATTCCCAAGAACAGAACAGTAATAGTCAGCCCGGTTTAATAGGCAAACCACAATATTAACAATGACAATGTCAACGCTTGTCAATCAAATGTCTTGCAAGAAATTGAAGTTTGAACAAGTTATGAAAGTTATGAAAATATTTCACTTCGGACATAAAACATTGATTTATCATGCAAAGAATACAATTACATGAATTTACAAGAAGGAACTGCAATGAGCTCAATTTTTCATACAGTTTTGTTGGTCACATGTCGCTACACACCATGATTCATGGACTCAGTTGTAAAGTGACACCGGAAACAATGCCTTTAACCTGGCAAATAATGGATGAAACAACCGTTAATCTCTTTAATTTCAACAACTTACAAGGTTAGAGCCAATATTTGAGTTTTAAGAATGTTATTTATTGGTAAACACAAATGAATTTATAGCCCACCAGATGCCGCAATGTACATTTCATGGTATAGTAAACATTCGAATTTTAAATTTTGACATCAGCTAACTAATCATCATTTCGACTTTTAACATCCTGAAACTTGTTGGATTTAGATGTATCGCACATAGTTTAAATGACCGTTATCTTCAGGCTACTTTCACAGTCAGAAAAAGTATGGTGAATAAAAAAATTTGTCATTATTTTAGTACAGAACTCAAATCTTTCATAATGATAGTGAGTCAAGTATATATGACAACAAAAACAAATATCATATTTTCAAATCCAACAGTTAAAGATTTTCGTTACACGAGGTCGATTAAGTTGGTTAATCTGGAGCACTTCTAATTAGTATATTTACCCACTCCGACTAAAATAAATATTTCTCAAATATTTCTCTTAGAGTGTTGCCATAAATTTTCGAATTTGTTTGATGCTTGTTGACATTCGCTCTTAATGAGTTTGTACAAAATTGGTTCAGTTATTGGACCCCCTGTGGCTATGCTTTCAGGGATGTTTTGCAGGGGGAGTCCCCCAAATCTGAAAATAGCTAAATTCTGGGCAGGGAATATGAATATCATTATTATTAAAATGGTAAGGCATATAACCTTGAGTATACCAATGGGTAATCACTTGGAGGTGCAGTTGGTGAACCCAGACATCATTTCTATTCTAGTTGTGCATAGGAAATGACATCTGAGTTTGTGACTATAGGAGGGGAGAATTGCCCCTCCCCCAAATAAAAAAACCCCTGAAATTTGGGGGCAGCTCACACCCAAAACCTAAAATACCCCTGAGCCCTAATTCACCTCCCATATTTTTGCTTGACTGTGTCACATGTGTTTGGATTCAGCACTTCACTGAACTTCTCGGGTAACTGGTTCAACAGCTGTTTTTTCTCTTTTCCTACCATACTAGTCCCGTCATACCCACTGGTCTTCTTTCCAGTTCCATTTAATTTTTCCCAAACTGTATAATTTTTCCCAAAAGAAATAATTGCGTGTGATTTACGTGGTCCAATAGACAATAATATTTACATTCTAGCAGTAATCGATTATTATAGTAGATGGATTGAAATAGATATTCTGAAATCTATTACATTGTCAAAGATTGTTCAGTCTTTAGATCGAATGTTTCTTACTCATGGATTACCATGTGTGTTAACGTTAACCTGAGTATCAGGCCCTTATGTTTTCATTCACCAGGATTAATTGGCGGCGGCGAATGAAGGAGGGCCTGATACAATTCTTTACCGCGGCGCGTGTAAAAAGCCAGATTCTGGCTTTTTCGTCTGATTGGCCGATTAGACAAACGATTTTTTAAATCTGTCATTTGATTGGCTGGTGCTAATTAGATTATATTGTTGTTGATATATTTTATAACGATCACAACTACAATTATAGCCGGCCCACTAAACGGCTGAATTTAAATTAAAACTGCAGTAAAATTAGAAAATAATCGCAAATTAGCGAAATATATTGCAAATGTAGCTTATATTAAATCGCCATCAGATTGCACTATCGACTAACTGACGTATAGTTATAAAGTATACTTAATATATATATACTTTATAATTATATGTCAGTTTGTTGATAAATACGGTAAGCGCCATGTAAAGCTCATTGTAGTCACTGAAACCTCTGCGGAGGAGAGAGCAATCGGGTGGCGATTTAATATAAGCTACATTTGCAATATATATATTTCGCTAATTTGTGATTATTTTTGTTAATTTTATAAGTTCATTGCAGTTTTAATTTAAATTCAGCCGTTTAGTGGGCTGCCTATGCTATAATTAGATTGTTGTTGTCGTTGTGTGAAATTTAAATTTCTCCTGCGACATTTTGATTGGATACTAAATATAAACTTTGCTGTGGGTGGAAAGCGATCAGGTTAAGTTTTGTGTCAGGCTCTATTTGTAAAATAGAGCCTGATACTCAGGTTATGTTAACGTCTGATAACGGTCCACAATTTGTGTCTTCTGAGTTTGAGGAGTTTTGTGAATTTATTTGGAATTTATCATCGCCATATAACTCCATTATGGCCACAAGCAAATGCTGAAATCGAAAGCAGATGAGAAATCTAAACAAAGTAATTAAAATTTCTTATGTGCAAGGAGGAAATTTAGAGGAGGAACTTAACAAATTCCTAACAGCGTATCGTACAACACCTCATGGGACTACTGGAAAAGCCCCAGATGAGATGTTATTCAAGAGACGTCTTCGCACAAAGATACCTGAATTGGTTCCTTTTGATAAATGTGATGAAGAAGTACGTGATAGGGATGCAGTTCTCAAACAGAAAGGAAAGGAACATGCGGATGACAAGAAGAATGCAAAATATCCTGACTTCAAAGTTAATGATAAAGTTCTACTGCAGCAGCGTAAAACGTGTAAGACAACAACTATGTATGAACATGATCCTTACGAAATTGTTTATGTGAATGGTTCACAAGTGACAATCAAATCAGGTGAAAATGTTTGCTACAAATGCAATTCTTCACACGTTAGAAAATTTGAAGAATCAGATTTACCATCGGGAAATGAACATATTGACGAGTCAGAACATTTCAAAGAACCGGACACTAATGAACAAGTGATAGATAATTCGTTGGTCATTGCTGAACCAAGACGTTCATCCAGAAGTACAAAAGGAAGAGCTCCAGAGAGACTTGATTTATGAAGAGGCATCGTAACGATAAGTACAAACAGTATATATTAGACATTAAGATTATCAATTAGAAGTTAAAAATAATTGTTCTAAAACATTGTCTTTTGCGAACAGTTAGATACACTTAACATTTTGAATTAAAAAAAAATTTACAAGAAAGAAAGGGATATAGTGTTTAGAGATAATGTATAGTTAATATATGCATAATAGATTGGTATGGATAGTTAGGTATAAATATGGATCATAGAAGTCGGGCCATTTTGATTATTGTAGTTCAGTAATAACATGTACAAGTTTGTATGTTTTTCTGGTTGAAATATAAATCTCTTATAATAAAGAGACACTAAAGAACAAGGCATGAAATGGCATTTTAGGACGAAATTCTAGTTTCGTTTTTCCAAGCAAAGATACTTCCAAAGAGACCACCCGATCTTGCTCTTGAGTGACACTGAGAAGACAAATGCGTCGATTTCAAGTACCCCAATACATGTAATACAGTACTGTAGAATTTGAAGTGTGGTGAATGATAATACTATACCACACACATTTTAATTACCGCATCATCACACCATGTTGCCTTATTGGGGACTGGATTACATTTGGGAGACTGTGAAATTGCAGTAACTGTGTCACTGTTTATAAGGTTAATTTCTTGTTGGAAAACTCCTCAAAATGTGGGAAATAGCTTATCTGAGCTTCAAGAAATCCAAAATTTTCTGTGGGGTATGCCCCCAGAACTCTCTAGAAGCTCGCACCTTGGGTGGTCGACTCGGTTGTCTCAGAATCCTAGTTGCGGCCTGATCTGCTGCCCTATGATGTATACTTATTAGTTAAACCCCATGCATATATATGCTGGTAGCTGCAGTGATACAGACTTGCCAATTGGAACTTCTCCAGCCCCCCGCTAAATATGTCCCCTCCAGTTACACATCCTTAAAAGAGGCCCTGAATTTTAATTGCACCATTTGAATAGCTATTGAGTATTGTAACACAGAATTATTTGGCAACAGAGAAATAGAACAATGGTATCTTTCACGTTTCTGAAAGGGTGGGTCATAATTTTTCAGCACCAATTTAAGGGTGGGCCACACATTTTCATGCAGCTATTAAGGGGTGGGCTACCAAAAGTGCCGACACCAAATATTTGATTTTCCCAGCCCACCCCTGCTTTTACTTTGTGACCGGTCCCTAATTAATAAATTACACCCAATTGGGGAGGGGGGCAGATGTTAACCCATTCATGGGCAGAATGATTTGAATTATTTGATATTAGACAGAGTTAAATACTAATTAATTAAAGTATACATGTGCATTTGGGCACATTGCCAGTCCTCTTTTGTAGAGTTCTCACCAAATGAAATAACTGAAATAAATTTCGTACTTTCTGCCGCCAACAAGAATTGCATACACGATCTGATAAGTGAGACAATTTATTTATAACAATGGCGACAGCGAAGCACATATTATAAATGCTGATGTGGTATTGCATGACTTCCCTCACGATTTGAAGTTTGAGACTGGTTTTCTGTTGAAATTCGTCTTAATTTGCCTGTTCCGATTTTACTTGAAAATGAGCACCGGCAAATTTGGCAATTACTGACGGCGTTGCTTGCTTTTTTGGAGTTAAAACGCTGCCATTTACCGATTGTTTATGTTCTGAATAAGCAGAGAAAAGCCCGCAACATTTTAATGCGAGTTTGTTTGTTAATATTTGGGTGCTGTCATTGGTTCTTTTTTGACAATTGACGCACGAATGGGGCGTGTTATGAAAAGGGTCGTTTTACAAAATACTGGGCCTTGCTTGCAGGCCCACTATCAGTTCCCTTGGGCCTGCACGCGGGCTACTTTTCCACTAACAAGTAAAATCATTTGGCATTAGACAGATTTAAATATTAATTAAAGTATGTATGTGCATTTGGGCACATTACCAGTTAATGGGTTAACACAAGACACTGGCGATAGTTCCGTTACCCATTAATCCATTGAGCCACAATGCGCTCCAGGGTTGCCCTACTATTAATGCCAGATGATTTTACTCGTCAATGGGGAAGCTCTGCAGCTTAAAGGGTTAAATGGCAATGAGAAATTTTCCACTGACAAGTAAATCATTTGGCATTAAACAGAATATTAAATATTAATTCTGGTAATTATTTCTGGAAATCGTTAATAATATGGTACTGTGCATTTCTTCTAATTTAGTTGGCATACACACAGGGTTCGAGATTGGAATTTTTTACTAGTATCCATTATGGATACCAGCATTTCAAACTTGGTATTCAAATTCAAAAACTGGTATCCAAGTATAAGAATATGGTAGAATCATGATATTGAATGTTCAAAACTTCAAAACTCACATACTGTATACACACAAAAGCCATTATACAAGGTGTTCAGAAAAAAGGTAATCGAACTTCAGCGCGCTATTGTATCTGAATTACTCTAAGTATGAACGAGATTTTTTCACATGCGGAAAGATCATGCTTTTAGCTGTTGAATGATATCTTCTTCATCCGAAATGGATAAAAAATGAGCAAATACGAGTACGATAAGAAATCTTAGTCAGAATCGCATATTTTCACTGTTGGGAGTTAGGTCTAAAACCATTGAAAATGAATTCCCTTTAGGACTTAAGTTGATGAATTTCACTTCATTAAACTGCACACATATTCATAATCTTAGCTAAGCTACGACACGTTCGTGATTAATTGCTTTTTTCTTTTGTTATGCATTGTTTTAATTAGGCACAGAGGTGAAAATATGTGATTTTGGCAAACATTTTTAATCGGCCTTGTACATGCTTATTTTTTCTCCACTTGGCATACAAAGCATGTCATTCAATAGCTAAAAGCCTGATCTTTCCGAATATGAAAACCAATTGTTCATACGCCAAGTAATTCATGTATAATAGCGCGCTGAAGTTCGATTACCTTTTTTTTTATACACCCTGTACTTTTAGTTTGTTACAGGGTACAGAGAACATTGATAAAGTAAGTTACAAAGAATAGATATATATGCATTATTTATAAATATAAGAATGTATATACATAAACATATTATTTAGAAATTTCCTGGACTATTTTGCTGTAATGACTAAAAATGTAAAATACCTAAATATGAAATCCTTCAAAGTCTGATTCTTCTGAGCTTTCAGAGTTGAACAAGTCTAGTCCAGTGTAGTTTAATTCCATTTCATGATCTTCATCTTCATTGGATGAATCATTTGATGACTCTTGGTCTGACTTGGAGTACTCAGATACTGCATCAGATTCTGTGTCACTCCCACTCTCATTTCTTGACTGTGTCTGCTTAGCCTTGGTTTTCTTCCAGATCTTCTGACTTGGTCTTTGCCCTCGACCACAAACCATTGCTTGTTGCCATAAATGTATGGCAGGATCGGGATTGAAATCCTTTGTATCAGCAGCTTCCAGGGAAATGTGCATAAGATCAGTGACTGCATTATCAGTTAATCGATTTCACCAGTCTGGTTTGATCACCTTCAACAAAGAAAACCCCCTTTCGCATTCTACTGAATGTGCTGGGATTGACAACAGCAAATCAACTAGCAACAAGAAGACTCCAGCAGTCTCGCAAAATTCATTGTTAATTTGTTCCCAGTTGAGTGATTTTGCACTTCCAATACCTGCACACAGCAAATATCAAACAAAAATGCTGAGAAATCAGCCAATTACATCACTAAATCAGCTGGTTATTGTCTATATATTGACTATAATTCTTGGAGGTGCATTTGTTGCAAAGTATATATGAATTAAAATCCAAACCCACACCTTCTATAAATTGTTGATTTAAGTCCATCCCATTCAACTAAGGACTCAGCAACCACATCCTCCACATGGTCTGGACAAGCAGGAGTTAAGTATGGTTTGTAATGATTTAGAAGCATTGTAATTTGCTCATCAGCAAAATCTGGAAAAAAAATTTACAATAACAATTTACTATTTAAATATCAAACTTCATTATTTCACTGACTAAAAATACAATACTAATGATTGCTTATAGCATACTCATTACTCATAGTCATTACTCAAGTCTCAATATATACAATACATACAATATACATCATAGGAGTAACAAGTATGCTGTAGGTAAGTTTATACTTTATAATTTTATCATAAATATTAAGTTCAGCAAGTTGTGATTGTGAAACTTGGAATACCACTCCAATCCTTTACAGGCCAGGATCTTAAATTGAGAAACCCAATCCAGTTTAGGTGCTCAATATTGCCTGCTGCAGTGAATATGGACTTCAATGTTTCAAGTAGGTCATTCACAATAGGTATGAACCTTTCGAATGTAGAGTTGTTGTCCTCCTCCAGGTTAAGGTCATGATGTTTGCCATCATTAAGCAATTCCATCAACTTTGGTCCAGGCTTTTTAAATAATAAATAAACTGAGCAAACTCTAAGTGGTTGGATATAATTATGATGTTATTATACAAGTCACTGAGTGAGTATACGAAATACAGTCATTGAAATGATTTAGAAAAATTGGTAATAATATTCTAACTGTCGCTGTAGTTTGAGCAAGTTGTCCATTGTTATTTGAAGAACATTCTGGGCTTTAGCCACATTGATGTCTGGTTTTTGAAAAAACAGAGACAACTTCTTCAAATATGACAACAGATCTGTTGTCATTGTAGTGTTCTTTATGAAATACCACCTTCTTCATTAGGCACAAAAAGCCCTGAGCTTTTGCAGATCCATCAGCGGAATGAGGGTTAACCTGAAGCTAAAATATAATAATTTAATTATAATATTAACACAAAAATATTATAAAATGAAATACAGTAACTATTCAAGATCACCTTAGAATAAAATGCTTAGATCATTAAATGTTACATACCTCGCCAAAGTGCTGTAGCAAAGCTGGATACAACGACCACATGTTTTGAACGGCAGTGTATGTGTGTGGTATCCAACGTGTACTGCCAACTCGGGTTGGAATGCCTTTCATGCCCAGAGCAACTGAGCTTACCCTGAGCATACTCCTGTTCAGAGAACTTGTGTGGTAGAACGTGTATATATTGTTTAGAAAGTTCACTACTTGCAACTGATTCTCACATTTCTTTAAAATATCTTTAAATGCCAGTTCTAAGCGATGGGCATACAGTGATCAGTGGCTGTGATATGTTGAGCAGGGGCTGTTTGTTCGTTAGACATTTACCAACATCAGAATGACATCCCATATTCACGCTTGCCCCGTCTGCACTGTAACCGACAACCTTGTTATATAGATCTTCATCAGGAATACCGCCAACTTTCGTCAAGCTATCTTCAACCACTTTGGCGATGTTCTCTGCATTGGCTCGGTCTAGATTACGAAGTGCCAAAAATCGATTGGACAACTTCCCTTTATTACAATATCGCACAAACATTTCTGCTTCGCAAACAGACAAGTCAGTTGTACCATCTGTCATGACACTGTGAGAAGGAGCAGCAGATAATTCTGAGGCAAGGTTAAGATGCTCTGCTTCCACAATATAAGACATTCAGATGTTCACATAAGACATTCAGAGGTTCACATTATGTGTGATTTTGTGGAGATCGACGAACCATTCGTAGTCTGAAAATGGTCTTCCTTTCTTGCCGAAGAGTGTGAAACTCGAAACAGCACATACATTTTCTCAAACTCCGTTTCATGTAGCACTTGCAATGCTTTTTTGGCAGGATTTGTGCCTGGTGGTGCTGAACGAGCTTTAGCATTTGCTACACATTTGATATGACCCTTACTCAAGACATGCTTGCACAATGACTTGACATGAAAATTATCAGAGCCCTTTACAAACGTGCTCGTTTTATCTGCATGTTGATTGTTCATGCAAACATCACAAAACATCTTTTTGCTCACTAGTTTAACCCATGGAAATATGTGTTGCCACGACGGATTGAACTTGCGCATTTGTTTCGCTTTTGGGTTTTTATTTTGATCTTGATTCTTATCATTAACAGTTGCCAATGATAAACAAATGCTGTTCTTGACTCTTGTAGCTTCCGAAACTCTTTGTGTGCACTCAAGGAACAAATTGTGTTAATGAATATAATAATTTACACTTTATTGAGAAAGAACTAATATGTGTACAGCTCTTTAGTTTATCATTTACTTTACTGTATACAGTGTATTTATCACACGTCATAAGAACTGTGCAAATTTTCAAAGCCCAGTAACAAAAAGAATTCACAATCACAACATTCACAACCTGTCAAAATACAAGAG